TTTTCTCAATTTGTGTTCTTGCTTGGTTTTTTGAAATGAAATTCACATATATGTGATAGCAGCTACATGTTTATCATTCTTTTCTTGTTTAGGTTTATCCTGTTTGGAAATGGTTCGAGAAACAGGATGGAATTAGGTCGTTACAAAAAAATGACAAGGACCCAGCTCCCGAATTTTATAACATCTATTTAGAAAGACCAAAGGTGCCTACTTAACTCTGTTGTATTTATATTTATATGCATGTTTCACTATATATTGTTTATAATTCTTTATTCCGCATACTTCTTGAGTACTCAATCTCCTCTCTCGGGCAGGGTGATGGGGATGGTTATGATTTAGTGGTAGTTGATGCCATGCACAAAGCAAACTATGCTAGCCGCATTTGCCATTCATGCCGACCTAATTGTGAAGCAAAGTAAGTTCTTTTAAAAGCCTAGGTTTTTCCTCTCTCTTGTTCGCTGTTCATGGTTTATATGGTTATTCTATGGAGCATTATGTTTGCACGTTTCAGCATTTTGTATTTTCTTTTTTGGAGAAGGGAAACAATTTCATTGATGAATGAAAAAGGGTGTTTACATTTACACCAGTACATAGCATGAAAAAGAGTGAATCCCTTGTATTCTTTTTGCACCCAAATATACCAAAGGAAAACCCTGTTGCGAATTCTTTAAGTAATAATTGTTAACAAAAATATGCATGTTTAATTATTTTTTATGTAGTACTATGGAATTTGAGGTACCTATTATCTTCCCTAGTATATTGTAGGTCTAATCTCCATTCTAACTTAAAAAAGAAATATTATGTTAGAATGAATTTAACGTGTCTCATGATTCACCTTTATACTTGATATTAAAGGGAAAAAAAAAAGGGAAAAAAAGATGTGGGGGAGATTATTGCTTTGATTTCAAATCATGTTTTTTGAATAATAAGTTTGATGAACCTTGCCCCATAATCATCTGCATTTGCTTTTGCTTCTTCTCTTAGTTGTGCATTGCTTTGTGATAGTGGCCATAATATCTCCCTCTTTTTTACTAATCATAGATCATTCAACATATTGTTTTAAAACAGAGTTACTGCTGTTGATGGTCATTACCAGATTGGAATTTATAGCTTACGCAAAATACAGTATGGTGAGGAGATCACATTTGATTATAATTCTGTTACGGAGGTACGTCTTTTTGCAGTTCTTTTCTGATTGTGCTCACTGGGGCTCTTTTTTTTTTCTTTTTTTTTCTCTATAATATTACTTTTTACTCCATCAGAGTAAGGAAGAATACGAAGCATCAGTCTGTTTATGTGGAAGCCATGTCTGCCGAGGTAGCTACTTGAATTTGACCGGTGATGGAGCCTTTCTTAAGGTAATATTTGGAGGGAACTCTTTTAGAAAAAGGCATGGTGTGCCACCTTGGTTTCAGTTTTTGTTTGTTTTCTTCTGCTAAGAGATCTTTTGTTTTCATGTTCCCACAATTTATGGATATATTGGTTATTGTGGTTGTTTAGTCTACTTGTTCCCAGCCTTGATCTTTTGTGTGGCCTTAGTACTAGTTAAACAAGATGCGTTACCTTTCCACCAGGTACTGGAGGAATGGCATGGCGTTCTAGATTGTCATCAACTGATGCTAGAAGCCTGTGAATTAAATTCAGTGTCAGAAGACGATTATCTTGACTTGGGTAGGGCTGGATTAGGCAGTTGTTTACTCGGGGGTTTACCTGATTGGTTAGTGGCTTATTCAGCTCGTGTGGTAAGTGCATTGGTGCTTATGGCACATATGTGTGTCTGATATTTATATTTTCTCAACCCTTGGAGTTTGTTTCCAGGTGAGGTTCATTAATTTTGAAAGAACAAAGCTCCCCGAAGAGATTCTGACTCACAATTTGGAAGAGAAAAGGAAATACTTCTCAGATATCTGTCTTGATGTTGAGAAGAGTGACGCCGAAGTTCAGGTAATAAGAATATGGCATGCATATGGTTTAATATCCGAGTTAGAGGGAATAAGTTCAAGCCAGGGTGATCGCTGCCCAAGATTTAATATCTTACGAGTTACTTAGTCAATCAAATATATTAGGGTCAAGATAGTTATTCCTGGAGTATAGTTGAGGTGTGCAGAAGTTGACTTGTATATATTTTCTCATGCATATGCTTTTAGTTTAAATGCATCAATTTTATTTTTTAAAAAATAATTTCTTTTGTGGTCTTGACAGGCTGAAGGTGTTTACAACCAAAGGCTACAAAATTTGGCCATTACTCTCGACAAGGTGAATACCTTCACTTCCCTCTTCTCTTCTAGTTTTGGTCTGTTTATCAGGTAAATGTTATTGGGTTGGTTCCATCATTGGTATTTCCTATTCCACATTTTCATGTTGGTCTGGAATGATCTATACTATAACGAGGAGCATTGTTCCAAGTTTGGTTTTGCATGTGTGTCAGTGGTGATATTTGGTATTAGACAAGGTTCTAGAATAGAGTAGTTTTTTCGTTTCCTCTCATTTTAAGATGTGGAAACTTTTTATTTACTCATCTTTGATTAACATTTTAAATTCTGTCTGAAGGTGAGATATGTAATGAGATGCATTTTTGGCGACCCAAAGAATGCTCCACCTCCATTAAAAAGGCTTAGTCCTGAAGAAGCCGTAACTTATCTTTGGAAAGGAGAGGGATCACTTGTTGAGGAGCTGCTTCAGAGCATGGCTCCTCATGTTGAAGAAGACTTGATAAGTGATCTCAAAGCCAATATTCGTGCCCATGATCCATTAGACTCTGGTGACATCCAAAAGGAACTTCAACAATCTCTATTGTGGTGAGTAGATTTGTACTCCTCTGCTTTAAAATCCAATATAATCGGATGTTTAGTTGAATTCATTTCATTTCTTCTGTGTAGGCTGAGAGACGAAGTTCGTAACATTCCTTGTACATACAAGTCCCGGAATGATGCTGCTGCAGATTTGATTCATATTTATGCTTTTACTAAGAATTTTTTTAGAATACAGGTACCAACTTATATAATTTCACAACTTTCAAATTCTCTTATGCCCATTCGAGCACGATATTAAGGCAATGTTTACTTTTGTTTGCAGGAATACAAAGCTGTAACTTCCCCACCAGTTTACATTAGTTCACTTGACCTGGGTCCCAAGTATGTGGATAAGTTAGGGACAGGTTTTCAAGAGTACCGCAAGACATATGGTCAGAATTATTGCTTAGGGCAACTAATTTTTTGGCACAACCAGCAAAATACCGACCCAGATTGTAGCCTGGCTAAGGCCAGCATGGGTTGCATATCTTTGCCAGAGATGGGCTCCTTCTACGCCAGAGTTCAGAAGCCTTCACGGCAGCGTGTATATGGCCCAAAGACTGTTAAATTTATGCTGTCAAGGATGGTGAGAGTCTATTTTCGTTCTGTAATCAATGCCATTGGCTTTGTTGTCTTAATTCATTATTTTGATTTTCCCTCAGGAGAAGCAGCCGCAGAGACCATGGCCAAAGGATCGGATATGGTCATTCAAGAACTGTCCCAAAGTGATTGGCAGCCCAATGCTGGACGCGGTGTTGAACAACTCACCCCTAGAGAAGGATTTGGTACATTGGCTAAAGCACAGAACGCCCATATTTCAGGCCATGTGGGATAGGTAAACAACTTTTGTAGGGCTAGCAGGTAGGAACATTAGCCAAACCTCCTCCTCTGTATATTGTTTTGGAATGATTTCTCCATTTTTAGTTCATCATTCCAGAGCATCATTACTAGTGTAGCTTCTTCCATTCCCATTCTTGTGTACAGTTTTTTTTCTCTTATTCCTCACATTTTGTTATATTGTAGTTCATATTTGATCAGTAAATCGCTATTATTCCCTCCAATTGGAGCAATGGAAGTAGAAGCAATGGTTAAAAAAGACTCAATGTGGAGTTACATGTATGTATACGCGAGTATACATACACATATACATACATATACGTATACGTAAGTATACATGTGCACGCACATATACATACATATACGTAAGTATACATGTGCACGCACATATACATACATATACGTATACGTAAGTATACATGTGCACGCACATATATATTAAGACGAGTATTTTCTTTCACTCCATAAATGTTTGATTAGCCTGGTTGAGTCAGCATTTGGCCTCATGTTTAAACAAAATGTTGATTTCATAATATTTAATTGCTTAAAAATTTGAATATTTAATTAAACCATTTTTTTATATAAAAAGTCAAAAGTATTATGCGTCTTTGCTGTACCAACCATTATACTACGCGTGGCACGTGCCCAACCTTTCCGCTTCAAGCATATCCGTCTCTCAGAGTTGCTTGCGAAAGTACACTGTCACCCTTCCACGAGCCAAAATCCATACCCTTCCTACGAGGCGAAAATCGTCATTTTACCAAATTTTCCGGACTTATCAGCATTTATGCTCATCCACCGCAACCATAATGTACTTGAAAAGATTCCCACGTGCTAAGCACACGCCCTATCCCCATCAAAATTTAATCATAAAATGAAGACTTCGGCTTTAAGAATGATTTGCTCATCAAATTTTAATTTGAAATGTTTTCAACTATTTGGTTTTAAAAAAATAATTTTCTTCTATTTTTGTTATCTATTTTTATTGATATAAAAATGAAGTCAAATTTTGTAATATCAAAAAAAAAAAAAAAAACGAAATTAAGTATGAATTTCAAACCCATAGAGTTAAGAACGAAATTAAGACTAAATTAAATTAACTTAAAAATATCTAGAAAAAAAAAATTGGTTACTGTCCCAGTGGATTATTTGAAACGGCGGAAGATAAAGACAAATGGTCGACAAAAAAGCGTACCGGAAGAAGCTGTACAGTCCCCCCCGCCACCTACACCTGTCGGTTACATCCTCCTTGTACGGACCCAATCCGCATCATCATTCCCTCTGTTTCCTTTTGTCTTCTTCTTCCTCACCATTACAAATAAACCCATTACGCCATTACGTTAATTTGCAGAGTCTAGATATACACAACAATTACAAATATAATCCCTTGTTCTCTGGTTTTTGCTTTGCTCATGGAGACTTCTGCTGGCGACGATGCTTCCTCCACTGTTTGGGATGATGCTTGCTTCGACGCCATGTTTTCTGGCGTCAGTCTCCAGTCGTTTCTCGCGGGTGGTAGCCAGAGCCACACATTGTTGCCGTCTCTGTTCGGAGGATGCTACGTTGCCGATTCTCTTACTTTTCCTGACGGTATGACGTCGTTGTATCCTCAGGTAAGCTCTAACTTCGTCGCTGAAAGTACCGCCTCTTCCGATGGTCCCTTCTTCAAGTTGCCTAAATCCGAGCCGATGAGTGTGTATGAACAAACGGAGACTCAAGAATCCACGTTCCTTTTTCATGATTCGACGTCGTTTCCTCACTTGCCCGATCTCCGTTCCTTGGAGCAATGTTCGTCGTCGTTTAACAAGCGTGCTCGAGTCGATTCTGTGATGAATCCGTTGCAGATGGTGGAGCCGATGGTGCGAACATGTGAGGGGTTCCAGAACTTTTTTGTGCCGTACGAGTACAAACACTCGCCGGATTTAACCACTTCTGCTGCCGTGTCTCCTGCTGTTCAAATCCCTCGCAGCGCTTTGGCTCGACAGCGTCGTCAGAAATTGAGCGACAAGACGCGTTGCTTGCAGAAACTACTGCCATGGGACAAAAAAATGGACATCGCTACAATGCTTGAAGAAGCGTGCAAGTACGTCAAGTTCCTTCAGGCACAACTCCTCGCGCTTCAATCCATGCCCCGTGAATCGGCCATTTCTAGTTATTCAAATAATCATTACATCACCGGTATGTTTGGTGGATTGGAGAGGCTGAATCGAAACCAACTATTGCAAGTTTTAGTTAACTCGCCGGTGGCTCAGACCATGCTTTGTTCTCAGAGTTGTTGCGTTTTCTCGGCAGAACAGTTGGGCCTTATCCAGAAGATCGCGGAGAAACGAGTTCTGCTGCAGCAAATGTCGACATTCCGTCCCAAGCCCTAGTTTCCGATCGAGTTCCACCGTTCGTGATTCAGACCGACGGAACGGCAAGGCTGCGCGTCCGGTACTACAATATTTCTTTATGTGTTTGCGTTTTAGGTCATTAGAAAGCATGATAGAAATTAGAATATCCATTCCCCATTTTTGGTATTTTGGGAACAATTTTTGTAGTCACAATTTGGAATGTTGCGAAAATGCTTTTAGGTGAAAGTACAAAAGAACAGCTACCTTAGTGTTATGACTCCTAGTGATCATGAAAATGAGGTACAAAATTTTCAGTAATGAATGCAGATAATTTTCAGAGCACTCCATTTTCTGCCTACCATTAATTGCTTTTCCATTCTGAGTGAGTTCGTGAAAACACCCACAAAACAAACTGTCCTTGTGGTCAGAATTTTGTCCAAACTGAACACTCAAATTATGAAAGTATATCTTGATCAGCATATTGTTTTGAAACTTTCTTCTTTGCCCTTTATCTATTGGAACTCATTTCAATCCTTGGTTCAATTGATAATACTTCAATAATGCATGTTTATGTTGAAGAACTATAGAAACTACAGATAGATTATCATCTACATATTTGTTATACTGATCTTCAAGCTTCACCATAGACTGAATAGACCATGATGATCAGAACAATTCATTTGAGTTCTGATCTTCTGAGAACCCCACTAGTAATTTCTTAAATCATCCATCACCAAGTCCATGAAGAGGCAATAATTGTACCAAAGTTCTAACTATAAGAAAACCCAACCCCAAAAGCAAGAAATCCTGAAAACAACATAGACTTTACATGTTAATGTATCCTAACACACACATTGATGCCATCTGATAGTTCAAAGTTCATAAGCAAAGACTTGAAATCTTCTTACAGAGACGATACACCATTTGTAAAGTATATATCAAATCATAAAATTCTGGACAATTGAAAGAATAGATCTCAAATATTATGAACATTCTCTTTAATTTTCCATCTTAGAAACAAAGGGAAATGTGTAGAAACACTAAAAAGGAATATCACCTATTATATATTATAACTCAGAAAAATACAGAAGCAACTATTTCTCTGCCATGTTGTGGACAAGCACCACTCCAGAATGCTCATAGTTCAAAGAATTTCAGACCCAAAAAAGAAAAAAGAAAAAAGAAAGGAAAAAAAAGAAAAAGAAAAAGAAAAAAGAAAACTTCCCGAAGAGACTCTATTAGTTACCTTGATTGGCTTAGGAAGCTCTCTTTGCCTTCCCCATTGAATCCAATATTAGTTTACACTGTTCCCTAACTAATTCAACCTTCTTCACATACAATTCCAGTTCGTTTTCTCCCAACATCCTCCATTTGTCATCCAATTCCTTCGCTTTTTCACTCCCAATTGATGGCATTCTTTCCCTAACAAGCCGCATTAGCCCTTCTGAACAGAACTTACCATTCTCCACCATGAAAGAAGCCTTCAGCCATGGATATTCAGATAGAAACTCCTCTGCCAAAATCTTACTCTCAACATTATTATTGTTCACAGTCTCTTTCTTTGCTGCTTCCACATCCACTCTCGGCGAGCTTATAGACACTGAATTGCTAGCTTTCACACTATGCTTCCTCGGCTTGTTCTTTGCTTCATTGCCCCATATTTTCTTCGACAGCACAAACGAATTATGCTCATGTTGTTTCAAAAATACAGGGTCGTCCCCATTCCTGCCCTTCTCCGAGTTGTTCTTGTACTTCTTCTTCAGCCTCCTCACTTTATCGATCAATTGATTCTTCGAAACATTAACGCTTAGATTTTTCTTTATGAACTCTAGAAATTGGCTCATATCGGTATAAGGATCAGACCCCTTTGCCGATTGAAAATCAATCATCCCCTGTAGTATCGAAATCTCATCATCCTCACTCCACAGCCTGTTAATGCCGGACCCACACACCTTTTTCCCTTCTTCAATATCTTCGCCATTCATTACCCTCTTCATCTTCTTCTTATTCGACTCATTCCCTTGGAAGTTATTCTCAATCGGGCGCTTTAAACATGAACTAAACGGTGGCTTCACAGTAGCACAATCTATGCTCGACTTGTGTGAATCCTTGTTAGGTTTAGAAGACCCACAGGCCAATTTCCGAAGAATCGGTTTAATGGTGAAAGCAGAAGCACTTGGGGAGGATTGGGTTTTCTCAGAATCGGAATCTGAGACGAACGCAGAATCCTTTTCGAGAGAATTTTCACGTCTGGGGATGACAGGAGAGGGGATTGCTTGTTCTTGTTCTTCTTGTTGTTCTTCCTCTTCATCTTCGTGGGTGTGTTCATCGATTTCGTCCTCGGAGTTCTGCATTAGATTATCAATTTCCCGATCCTCTTCATGAGTCTCATAATCGGATTCTTCTTCGGAATCTGAAAAGGCATGCGCGGACGGAAGATCTTCGACGAGCCGCTTTGGTGCCATCGGAATAGAATGGAAGAAAAAGGTTGGTTTGGTTTATAAGGGAGAGGGCGTCAGAAATTTAATTTATAGTATTGGAGTAGGGTTTTTGACACATTGGGGTTTCTGACGTGGCATTGATTCGACAAACTCCGAAAAGGAAAAGGATACGCCATACGTGGAAGGTAAGTATATAATCTTATATTTTATTCAAAAAATAAATACAAATATCGAAGGTGATTATGTAATTTTCATATTTTATTCAAACGGGGATGTAGCTCAGATGGTAGAGCGCTCGCTTAGCATGCGAGAGGTACGGGGATCGATACCCCGCATCTCCACCTTTTTTTTTCTTTTCATATTTTCTATTTCCAGTTTTTATTTATTAATGTTTTTTACACAAACGTCATCGCAGGCTTATAACTTGATGAGGGTAAGATTTTCATCCTCAATATTTATAGGAAGATGATCTTTAGTTGTGACTAGAATTATAGTGTTCAACCAGGTTTTGTATGGTAACCTATAATTCTAGTTTCTTCCCATGATTGCCATTGCCACAGCTACTCTTAAACCATTCATACTTCATAACGCAAACATTTGCAAGAAATCTCTGCATACAAATACTATAACCAATCCCAAGTCCGCTCTGAGATTCCCACTTACTTCTCTACAATGTGGAGCCATTTTGCAATCACTCACCAACACCAAATCAACTGCACAAGGCCGGAAACTCCATGCCTGTATGCTCACATGTGGAAATCTTCAAAACAATACCTATCTCAGCTCCAAACTTGCTGCATTTTATGCCGCTTGTGGTCGCATGATAGAAGCCCAAGTGATATTCGATGGGGTTGCTTTGAAAAATTCCTTCCTGTGGAATTTTATGATTAGAGGTTATGCTTCTGGTGGTATTATTGCTTACAAGGCCCTTGCTATGTATCGTAAAATGCTAAGATTAGGAATTGTTGACAATTTTACTTTCCCTTTTGTTCTAAAAGCGTGTGGTGATCTGGGTCTTAGTGAAATGGGAAGGGAAATTCATACTCAGGTGGAGGTTTGTGGGTGGGATTCAGATGTTTATGTGAACAATTCTCTTCTAGCAATGTACCTGAAGTTTGGGAATTTGGATGTTGCAAGGAAGGTGTTTGATAAAATGCCCGACAGGGATACAACTTCTTGGAATACTCTGATTTCGGGTTACGTGAGGAACAACAATGCAATGGAAGCTTTAATGATTTTTTATCTAATGGGAAAGGCTGGGTTGAAAGCAGATGGGACTACTTTGCTTGCACTCCTCTCTGCTTGTGTTGATTTGGCTGCCATTAAGCAGGGGAAGGAGATCCATTGTTATGCTATACGCAATAATTATGTTTCTTCGAATGAGTTCCTGATGAACTCGCTGATTGATATGTACTCAAATTGCAATTCTGTTGCTGTTGCTAGGCAGTTATTCGAGGAGTTGAAAATTAAAGATACTGTATCATGGAATTCTATAATTTCATGCTATCAACGAAGTGGAGATGCTTTTGAAAGTTTAAGACTTTTCTGTCAAATGCTAATCGAAGAAACAGCAGCTCCGGATGAGATAACTCTCGTGGCTGTCCTAGGTGCTTGTGAAAAGATTACAGCCCTGCAATTTGGGAAGTCAGTCCATTCATATCTGACTAAGACAGGGATTTTCTTAAATTCCTTTTTAGGAACTGCCCTTATAGACATGTATGCTAAGTGTGGAGAATTATCTTGCTCTCACCACATCTTTTGTGAGATGACTCAGAAGAATATGGTTGCTTGGAGTGCTATGATTGCAGCTTATGGAATTCATGGCAGGGGAAAAGAGGCTATATCCGTTTTCAATGAAATGACAGCAAATGGCATTAGTCCAGATGAGGGTGTTCTAACTTCTGTTCTATCAGCATGTAGCCATTCAGGCTTGGTTGATGAGGGTAAAAAGATTTTCAATGAAATGACCATCAAGTATGATATCAAACCGGGACCTGCTCATTACTTATGTTTGGTAGATCTTCTTGGCAGAGCAGGGCTACTGAATGAAGCATACGAACTGGTAAAGCGTATGGAAGTCGAACCATCCGCTGATATATGGGCTGCACTCCTCTCTGCTTGTAGGCTTCATCGAAACATTGTGTTGGCAGAGATTTCAGCTCAAAATATTTTCAGAACGAATCCAACAAGGGTTAGTAGCTACATCTGTCTTTCCAATATTTATGCTGCTATGAAACAATGGACTGCTGTGGAAAAAGTGAGAACTACAATGAGGAATTATGGATTGAAGAAACCAGCGGGGTACAGCTCAATTGAACTTGATAGCCAGGTTCATATGTTCTTTGTTGGAGACAAGTCACACCAACAAACAAAAGATATATATGCTAAACTGAAGGATATAAGTTGGCGACTCAAGGAGAAAGGGCACAAGCCCGATACTAGTTCAATTTTATATGATGTCAATGAAGAGCAAAAGGAGAAGATGCTTTGGGATCATAGTGAGCGATTGGCTATTGCTTTTGCTCTTCTAAATACCCCTCCAGGGACCAAAATTAGGATTACTAAGAATCTTCGAGTATGTGCAGATTGCCATACAGTAACAAAATTGATATCGAAACTCACGGATCGAGAAATCGTCATGCGTGATAACCACAGGTTTCACCATTTTATTGATGGCATTTGTTCTTGTGGGGATTTTTGGTAATTACTGTGTAACTTTGTTTCATGTCAAATTTATTCAATAACAACAGGTATGGCATTTCTTATATGCTAACGGTTCAGCAATCGTTTATAGTTAGCAATTAAACATGTAGATGATTATATTTAGTATCATGTGGGTAGAGAGATAGGTTTCAGGAGTATAAGTTTCTTACCATGAGAATTGTTAGGAATCACGACTCTTCACAATAGTATGATATTGTGCGCTTTAAATTTAAACTCTCGTACTAATATGAGATTTGTTTTGGGCTTCTCCGCTCGTTCCAATGGAGATGTATTCTTTACTTATAAACCTAAACTAGCCAATATGAGACTCCTTTCCAACGATCCTCAACAAGAATGACCGTTTTTGTTGTTTCCTTTGATCTAGTTCTTAATCTGTTTTATAGTTTAGCTGCTGAACTAGTTCCTCAGTCCACTTTTGGCTTTCAAAACATGCTAATAATTCCTTTATTGATAAAAGATGAGGAAGACGATGTGTAAGTTTATATGCTTGATTGGTTGTCCTGTTGCTGAGACAGGTTTTCACGGATAGTGGCAGCTTGGAAGAATTGATGTTTATTTACAAACAGTCAAAATCTGTGATGCAGAGTTCAGCTAACTGAGAGCCACATTTATGAGGTTAACCCCTATCTCAAAGAGGAATGACTTGGCAGACATGCTTGGTTGGCTCGATTCTTGATGTCTTTTCAACAGGTAACAGGTATGTAATAACAAAACAAAATCTCTTTTCATTTTTTAACCGAATTTTCCATATATCATTAGTGCCCCACTTCCACCTCTTGGGTCTGCCTGCTTAACTTTTATTGCTCACCGCCATTGCTCACCAATCCTCTGAGATAGAAATTTAGCTTTTGGGTCTGCCTGCTTAACTTTTATTAATTACATTAAAACTATCCATCTCTTAGATCCATGTACGGACTGTAAAAAGGTAAAAATCTTACCTGTCATTCACTTGCCAAAGGTTAAAAGTGAAAAAGAACGGTGACGGTTTCATTGGTCTTCACGTGGGTCCGATGCCCTTTCAAGCTACAACTCTGTGAGTAGCCCAGTCCACTCCACTCCCTTACTCCCTATCTCTCTCATTTTGCTCATCTTCTTCACCCGCCATGAGAAAAAGACGAAAAAGAATCAAACCGCAAATCTTTTTCTTGTGAAGCTGTGTGTTTTTCGGAATCTGAATTTGGAACTCTGGATAATCGAAAATGTGTTATGTTGGCAAAGCTACTAAGATCTTCATCTTCATTGTTACCGTTTTGGTGGTTCTTGGTCTAGTTCTTGGCTTTGGATTTATGCGTCATGGCCTCCAAAAATCCCACAAGTGCTCCGGAAACTCCTGTTTTTCTCCTCCGGTTGTCTTTCCCAATCCCAATTCCGCCACTCCCGGCGGCGCCGCCCCCATCTCGGCCTCCAATCAACCGCAGAACCCACCAAACCCACCAGATTCCAATCCCAACCCACCACCTCAAAATCCGATTCCGGCTTTTCCACCTCCATCTGAAGCTACTCCGGCTTCTCCGCCTCCGCCTGACGTTATTCCGACTACCCCACCTCCGCCTGATACCATCCCGAATCCCTTACCACCGCCGCCACCGCTGCTGCCGGCATCTCAATCTCCACCTCCCCCAGAAACCGAAGCGTCGCCACCATTAACTCCACCCAGTACGACGCCAGTGAGTCCAGGTCCAATGCATGTTCAGCTGCGATCGTCGATTCGTAAGACCAATAAGAAGTTCTGAGGTCGATTTATTCATTGATTAAGCTCATTACTTTTTTAAAAAAATTGTCTTGATTTCTTAGATAGGTTTGTAGAGAATGAGGATGAAATGTGAGTTGTATTAGATTCGAGTGATGGGTCGATCCAATCTTCAGGTGTTGCCTGCTTGTTCATGACGGATTGTCAGTTCCATTTTACTGAATTTTCACAGAAAAAGCAGAGGAATCAGCCGTGATTCCTTTTCTTTTTCGTTTCTTTTTAGTGTATCAGTTTCACAGTTCCTTCTTTGACCATTGTCGTCTACAGTGTCTACACTACTCCCAATGATATTATCAGTCCAAATTTCGCTAATCCTCCTCAAAAAATCCATTTCTTTTCAGCTAAAAAACCTAAAATGTCGGAAATGGGTCGGGTTTTGAAGTGGATCTGTATAATTGTTGATGTTTTGTTTGTATAATTGTTGTTGAAATTTTCCTTTAGAATATCTGAACTGAGCAATTTTCAGGCAAATTTGGTGTCTCCGAGGAACACGAAGCTTTCTTTTTAGCTTCTTTACGCAAAGTACAGATTTTAGCAGAGTCCCATGTTCATATCTGCAGAATTTTCGCAGCAACATCCTCGCATGCGTTCAAGACAGTTTCTTTTCTTTTCTTTTTTTTTTTCTTTTTTCTTTTTTCTTTTTAAGATAATGTCTTTAAGGGTCGGATTGAAACCTATGGGTAGAAGCAACTGATCTTCCATCAAGCGGCTGAGGCCTTTGTGTTTAACTGCGAAACTTTGTCTTAAACCGGTGGTTGTAGGGTGGCCACAAAAAATTTTGAAGGCTATTGACCCTTGCATTTAGGGTAGATACCCTATAAGCTAAAGGACAAGGGTTAAATTTGGAGGGCACGTTGCGTGGTACTCTGCCAACTGTAAACATTATAATAAGGTTTGGAATTTCTATACTGCTGCGGTGTTATAATTCATGTCATGCACGAGGATCGGTGTCCGGTCACCGAAATCCGGCCGGCTTCTGCGGCGGAGGGCGGCGAGTTTCTTGATTAGTTTGGACATTTGAGTGATGAGAGGTCGGTCATGTGGGAATTGGAGAGAATTAAATCTAAAATGATCTTTGCCCCTTCCTAGCTTTAGCCTCAGAAGCTTCCGAGTTATATTCAATTTGAATATTTGATTCAAGACTTTAAAACGCATTTGTTAAGAGAAGGTTTCTACACCCTTATAAAAGGGATTTGTTCTTCTCCCCAACCAATGTGGGACATCACAATCCACCCCCTTCGGAGCCTAGCATACTCGCTGGCACTTGTTCCTTTCTCCAATTGATGTGGGACCGCCACCAAATCCACCCCCTTCGGGCCCAGCGTCGTTACTAGCACACCGCTTCATGTCTACCCCCTTCGGGGAACAGCGAGAAGGCTGACACATCATTCGATGTCTAACTTTGATACCATTTATAACAACCCAGATCCACCGTTAGCATATATTGTCCCCTTTAGGTTTTATCTTTCAGTCTTCATCTCAAGGCTTTAAAACGCATCTAGTAGGGGAATGTTTCCACCCCCTTGTAAAGGGTGTTTTGTTCTCTTCCCCAACCAATGTGAGACATCACAATCCACCCCCTCCGGGCCCACATTGGTTGGGGAGGAGAACAAAACACCATTTATAAGGGTGTGGAAACCTTCCTCTAGTAGACGCGTTTTAAAGTCTTGAGGGAAAGAGGGGAAGCCTGCAAGGGAAAGCCCAAAGAGAATAATATCGGTTAGCGGTGGGTCTGGATCGTTATATTATCACTGAGTAGTGGAGTATATATTTGAACAAAATTAAAAGTTTAGAGACTTATTAGATACGGTAATTTTTTAGAGATCTATTAAACACTTTTGAAAATTTATGAACTAAATAAACACAAACTTTAAAGATCGTTCTTATAAGTTAACTCAATACTTTGATTAATATTTCATCAATATCATGATGAAATTATGAACTCGCCCCTTATGTTCGATATCTTGAGCCATACATAAACATGTAGAATATGGAGTCATCGACGAAAACATAGCTCAGAAATTACAAGTTCTTTCAGTTTTTAGGCAGTAAAGAAGGGGTAAGTTTCATATCTAAAGTTGCAGCTCCCACCGACCACTCTTCCACCAACTTTAGCTCCATTAGCACAGCAATAAGGCAGTTCAGCAATGGCATCATCAAGGCACTTCTTGCAATCCGCAGTCCACAGATCTCTGGTACACTGAACCAACCCATACACCTTCTTGGAGCTCCCAATCTCCAACTCTCCAATCGCAAACAAATTCCTCGACGTTTTAACCTTTTCAGACAACCCACTGAGCAAGTTCTTAACTTGTTCCCCAAACGACGTCGGATCCTCCGCGTCTCTGACATTCCTCAAGTAGAATCTAAACCCCCCATTTTGATTCTTCCCAAAGAATTTGGCATTGGAGTATTTCAAAAGGCATGAATCATACCATATGGCCGCCCCTTTCTTATAAGGACATCGCTGTTGGATGTCTTGTCCGGCCGTCGCAACACAGTTCTTGCAATCGGCGGGCGAGGCGTCCCCCCGACATAGAGCCAAGCCATTGACTTGGTTTGTTAAATCTTTGCCTCCAGTTGAGCTTAGGCCAAAGCCAGAGGGTGGGGCACTATTGATCAATCGATCGAGAGCTTGTTTTAAGTTGGAAGCATAGAGACTATTCATTGTGTAGTTGTCGGAGCTTGAACATGTATGGTAGATATATCCACCATTGGTTGTGGTTATGGTATTGCCTATGGCGGCGAGAAAGAGGAGGAGAATAGGAAGATGTGGCTTTGATCCGCTCATGCTTTGAAATGGATGATTATTATGTTTTGAGAGTTGATATAAATAGAGGGGGAGTTGTCATAGGAGATATTAATCCTTAAAAAATAATTATAGGTTTGGATTATATATTATAGGCTTAGTAATAAATTGAAAAAGTGTTACTACCTTTCCAAAAGAATTAGATTTTAAAACGTTGTTTATTCAATGTTAATCCGTAATGACCTTATTTAGTTAGATTTCATGTCGGTTAGAGAGATGAACGAAACAAACGTACGAAAGTCTCTTCCTAGTAGATGCATTTTAAAATCGTGAGGCTGATGACAATACGGGACAAAATGAACAATATCTATTAACGGTGGGTTTGGGCTGTTACAAATGGCATGAGAGCTCATCACTAGACAGTACAAGACAATATTTGGGCTATTATAAATTGATCAGAATAGGCATAGACCCAACCCTCTTCACAGTAGACACATTTTAAAATCTTGAAAAGAAGCTCAAAAGAAGCAAACGTGCTAAAATCTCAGATCCACCGCTAGCAGATATTGTCCTCTTTGGGCTTGCCCGAGATATTGTCCTCTTTGGGCTTTCCCTTTCGGGCTTCCCTTTAAGGCTTTAAAACGCGTCTGCTACGGAAATGTTTCCACACCCTTATAAATGGTGGTTTGTTCTACTTCCCAATTAACGTGGGACGTCACATGTCTCCATAAAACTCTTTAATTCTTCCTATATCATATCATATGTACTATATATATAAATATTGGTCCACTAATTTAAGAATGTAGCGTAATTATATATGAGTAGCCATTATGGATAAGCCCCACTTTGATTGCACTCACATATATGTATATGATTAAGGAGAATTTAGTATATTAAACAAATATATGTGTATGGATTAATGGATGATACACTTAATTAGCTTAATTAATATAATAATTTTGAATGGATTTAGTATGGTGTGCACTATATTTACGTATATGACTTTTTCACTGAATTTATTAAAGATGGATATGGAGCACAATGAATATTTGATTATAAGTGGATGGAGAAATTTAATGGAGAGTTGGATGATTTGCACTTTCATTAATGAATACAATTTTAGTACAATTGGATATTAATTACTGATTAATGCATAACCACTTTTCTTATTACTCAAATCATTTTCCTCAAACTTCTGATTATTACTTACCCATATTATCAAGTTGTAATTATGTTAATAAAGATTTTTCAAATGGAATCAAGTTTAACCTAATTAGTTAAAACATTTACCTTCGATCTCAAAGTTCATACGTCAAATTTTTACTTATGCATAGTATGATTAAGAAAACAAAAATTTATATAGAAAAAAATTGCTAGAATGGCGTTGGATTTGCACCAATTTGGTTGTGGCATCCTCATTTCATATCAGTCCATGATCACTAATTTTAGGTTTGTGTAACCGTTCAAGTCCACAACTAGCAGATATTGTCTTCTTTGGACTTTTCGCTGAAGGCTTTTTGGCTTAAGGTTATCCAAGCCCACGACTAGCCTATATTGTCCTCTTTGGGCTTTCCCTTTAAGCGCGTCCTTCGCTCAAAGTTTTAAAATGGGTTTGTTAGGGAGAGATTTTCACACTTTCATAAGGTATCCCATACTCAAAGTTTTAAAACAGGTAAAGGTTTTCACACTCTTATAAGGTAGCCCAGCATCTTTGTTAGCACACTATTCGAAACCTGGCTTTGATACCATCTATGACATCTCAAGCTTACCGCTAGCAAATATTATCCTTTCGGAGCTTTCCCTTCAAGGGCTTACCCTCAAAGATTTAAAACATGTCTATTATAGAGAGGTTTCCACTCTTATAAAGTATGTTTCGTTTCCCAATCCAACCAACGTGGAGGCTCACAATTTGTATCCTCAACATCATCATCCACAACGACTAAGATCATCTTCAAATCCGATAAAATCAATTCAATCGCATCAATTGAGTGAGACTCTTACAAATACGATTTACACCCACAATTAAATCTTGTCTTAATATACTATGAATCTTACGGTTCTCAATCGAAAATATTGCATATCATACTATCATATATATCATATATAGAATATAGAGCGATACATCATCTTTAACATCGAGTTTGTAATGAACCCTTAACTTATTTTTGGGCATCAACAATTGGGTAAAGTTCATATCTAAAATTACAGCTTCCACCAACCACTCTTCCACCAAT